ACCTTGTGTCTGATCCATCTCTATTTTTATTCAACACATTCTGTTGAGCAACAGGTTTTTTTAGTTGGTTCGTTTCCTTTTGCCTGGCCATCTGATCTTGAGTATGTGGAGCCAGCGAAGAGGACGGCTGCTGATGAAAGAAAGTGTTCAGTGGTCTGCTGGAAATGCTTTTGGTGACGTTGTAACCAAGTTTCTGATCCATGTAGAGATGAAGTGACTGATCTAATGTTGTCGGTGTTGGAAATCAAAATTTCGTTCTTTGTGCTGAAGCTGTCTGTTAGAAACATGCCATTTGGTGACACGCACAGCAACTTTTTGAACCTTATAGCAGCTGTGACATATTAGTGTGATATTAGTGTGTGTACAATTCAGTTCTTGTTCCTTATAACTGATTAAAAAAATTTTTTATTCCTTCACGTTCCCAGTGGAACATAGGGCTTCAAGCTAGAGGCTTGAAGTTTCTGTAGCAGTGGTGTTTATTTTTACAGGATGGGGTTGTTAGCCTCATGCTCAACCTTTCCTCTTTACCAGCTTTTTTTCAAAATATTAGCTCAGCGAGGTTATGGAGTGCGTCTGTGGCCTGGAATCGAACCCCGGACCATGTGCATGGTCGGCGAGCGTCCTAACTGCTATGTTACCGACGCTTAAACATTATAACTGATCAGTTCAGTGGATTTTCACGCTGATTTCAGAGTAACGAACTTCTGTCTTGCCCTTACCTCCCCCCATCTGATTCTGATTGGTTTTGACATCCTCACATTAGTGTCACTGCCTGTAGTAGTTGAAACGATGTTCCCCTCTTAAATAATACTGATTTTTGTTTGTCGTTGTTGTTTTATGTTGGTCGGATGTCTTCATAACGCTTGTAAATCTTTAAGATTTTATGTGACGACAGACATAAATCATCTTTGAAGTTTAGATCTTTCTGGAGGTTTAATGTCAGTGCAATGTATACCAACTTGTGATGTATTATTATTATTTTTTTTTAATTCCTAGAGGAACATTCTCTCCTACAGTCTTCACCTGGCTCCAAGTCTGCCCACACACACGCTTTCATCTCCTCTTCACATGACCTCCTCCAAGACACTCCACCCTTTCACTGACGACCAACTCGCCGCCGCTTCCCTTTCGGCCGGGTTCCACTCGACCAATGGCTTGTCTAGTGATGTCAGTCACTTGATGGTTTGTTTCCTCAGAGTATGGCTAGCCAGCCAATCCACCTACCTCCATTTCTTCCTGCCTATTTGTTTCACAATCGGTTGGTTCCTGCTGTGTTGGTTCGCTCATTGCCAGAGATCCCTCTCTGTTGATGATCTTTTCTGGCCAGCCATCTGATCTTGAATGGTATTGAGCGAAGACAGCTAAATGTTAATGAAGGTGTGTAGTTTGTTTGAGATGCTGTTTATGACGCGCAGTGCAAGTCTCTGATCCATCCGTATAGTGAGTGGCACTGACTGACTCCACATTGGAGTTGAAAATCCGGATCTTATCTTCGTTTTGATGCTGAGTGCTGACTGTTGACCTCCACACAGACTTGAGAGTAGTGAAAGCTTGTCTTGCTTTTCCGATCGATTCTTGCTTTGATATCCTCGTCAGTTCCGCCGGCCTGTAGTTGAAACGATGCTTCCCAGGTAGGTAGGTAGGTAGGTAAAGGAGGTGGTTTCTTTCAGGTTCCTTCCATTTATTCTGGCTGATTGTTGTTTGTTGTTGTTGTTGTTGTTGCTGTTGGTGGTGTTGACCAGGAATCTTCATCACCACATCTGTTTTCTCTATGTTCACCTGAAGTAAGTCCCATCTTCTCTGGATGCTTGTTCTGCCAACTTGTTGCTTTTCGCTTGCATATCTTCCAATTTGTGGGAAATCAGACATATATCATCGTCGAAGTCCAGATCCCCCAAGTTTTTTGTGTGAGTCCATTTTATGCCTGTTTCCTCATTGGCCGCTGTTTTTCGCATTATCCAATCTACTGCAATCAGGAAAATCATCGGCAATAGTAGGCAGCCAGCCAACCTTGTCTTACTCCTGTCCTCACTTCGAAGGATTCCGTAAGCTTCCCGTTGTGGATTACTTGGCATGCAGCATTGTCGTACAGCTGTTGGATGAGATGTATAATTGTCGGTGGCACCCTTTCGTAGTAGCGAAGTAGTTGCCAAATCACCTCTCGATCGATGCTACGCTATCGAAGGCTTTTTCAAAGTCGATGAAGTTGAGATAGAGAGGTGACTGCCATTCCAAGCTCTGTTCAATGATGATCTGTAATATGGCGATCTGATCAATACATGACTTGTTCCTCCTGAATCCAGCATGTTCCGGTGGAAGCTTTTCATCCAGGTTGGCGTGTTTGATTCTCTCCAGGATGATGCAGCTTAGTATTTTGCTTGAGATGGACAGGAGCATAATTCCGTGCCAGTTCTTGCATTGACTTAAGTCTCCTTTCTTTGGTAGTTTGAATAAGTATCCTTTCTTCCAATCCTCAGGTACTTTGCCTTCTTTCCACACCTTCTCCAGTAGTGGCGTCATCAAGTCCACTGCTGTCTCTGGGTCCGTTTTCAGTGCTTCTGCTGGGATTCCATCTGGTACTGCCGCTTTTCCAGCTTTTAGCATCTTGATGGCCTTCAGGACTTCTGATTTCGTCGGGGGATTCGTGTTCACTGGTAGCTCTGTCTCCGTCGTTGGTATTGTTGGGTGCGTTGTAGGTGGTGGTCGATTTAGGAGTCTTTTGAAGTGTTCAGCCCAGTGTTTCTTTTGTTCCCCTTCTTTGGTGAGTGACTTTCCATTGTCATCCTTCACTGGTTTAATTTGTGTCGAACATTTCTCCGATAGGTACCTAGTTGTTTGGTAGAGTGTTGCGAGGTCTCCTTTGCCTGCAGCTTGTTCTGCTCCACTTGCCATGGCTTCATAATATTTTCTTTTGTCTTCCCTGGCACTCTTCTTTACTCTTTTGTTCAGTGTCTTGTAGCTTTCATTCAAATCCTGTTTTTGTTGCTCGTCGGTGCACTGGAGGATCTTTTGTTTCACCATCCCTCTCTCTTCTATCAGTCTCCAAGTGTCCGTAGTGAGCCATTGTTTGTCCTGTCTCTTCTTTCTGCCTAGAACTTCCATGCATGTTTGACTCCACACTGTCTTCAAGTTGTTCCAGTGCTTTTCGACGCTGACGTCTTCACTAGTGTTGATTTGTGTCTCGGTTTTGTCCTTTATGCTTGCAGTGAAGATGTCCTTTGTGTCCTAGTCCTTCAGTTTTTGAGTGTTGAACCTGGCTTGTTGTCTGTCTGCAGCTCCTGCTTCCCTGAAAGCTCCTAGTTTGATTTGGATTGTCCCTTGTACGAGGTACTGGAGCATGCTTCGGTCAAAACAATATTATCACTTCAGTTGATATATATACATATATATATGATTGGCCATTATTCTAATTAAATATCCTGTTATTAGCAGTAAAATATCTTGTAATAAGAGACTGTATTTGTGTATGGACACAATAGGAAGTGAATAGTATACAGAGATCGATGCACAGCATACCTGAAGAGGCCTAAACAGAGACGAAACAGTCCATTCATTGCTTATTGGTATTAATTGTTTCACCTAACTTTTGTATACCAAGAAGTAGCATATTATTTGTGTCAGTTACTTTTTTTTTCTACGTGACTTGTCGGGAAGGTGGTGGACATCCAATCGACTGTTAAGTCCTTCGGGAAATTAACATTATATCCCATAATAATGACAATAATAATCACTTCATTCTAAACAACAGTAAATTATTATACAAAACGGAAATTTCAATTGTCAAGTTGAAATAAATGATCATCCAGTTCAATTTCAACGCTGACACAACACTCCACTTTTTTTTGCTCACAGAAACTGATGGACTTCAAGGTGCTGTACTCTCTCCATTCTACCGTATTCCTCTCTAAAGCTAATATAACTGAATGTGCCGATGATTTGACTATTATCTGTCCTAGTAGTTTGTTTCTACACTGTATTGTTCTCATATGAATAGTTTTTTTATCTAAGGTGAACCGATGGTCTTAAACTGAATGCATCTAAATGTCATATTGTTCATTTTAGATTCAGATGCAGACAAGACTTGTGTCGATTGGTTCAGTCTCATGATTCCTGTAGTATTGATGGCCCTGTGATCACAGGGAGTAAATTGAATATCTCGGCATCAGTTTCTCTTCGAATCTCTGTTATTATTGTTATTGTTCCCTTGGGTTCCTAGTGGAACATAGGGCTTCAACTACACGTCTCCACTTGCTTCTCTCTCTTCTGCTGCACTTTTCACCTGCATCCGTTAATCCATACTGTCCCAACTCCTCTTCACACGATCACCTCCATGTCACCCTTCGACGTCTCACTCGCCGCTTCCCTTTCGGGTTCCACTCGAGCTATGGCCTGACTGACGCGCCATGTCACCCAGCGACCTCCTCAGCGAGTGTACAATCCATCTCCACTTCTTTCTCCTGCATATTTTTTTGTTGGGCGATTGATTCTTGTTTTGTTTCTCCCCATAGTTTCTTGTTGGTTATTGTTCTTTCCGGCGGCCATCTGATCTTCAGTATAGAGCCAGCGAAGACAGTTGTTGTTGATCAAGGTCTGCAACAGGCTGTTGGAAATATTCTTTGTGAGGCAACCGCCAAGTTTCTGATCCATCCGTATAGAAGAACTGACTGACTTGACGTTTGCATTGAAAGTCCGAATCATTTTGTTGTTGATGCAGGCTGAGTTGAGTGACAGCGGAAGATTTCCAGATTGGTTTCAGGTTGATGAATGTGTTTCTCGCCTTCCCGATTCTCGATTTGACATCCTCGTCGGTTCCTCGTGTAGTTGAGACAATGCTCCCCCCCCTAGATAAGTGAATGAAGTAACCTCTTTTTTTTCGGGTGGAATGAATCTGTGTTTGTTATTGGCATCATCACAGTCGCATACTCCTCATATGGTACATAGATGGAGACAGCAACACTTACAGGATCATGAATTAAAAAAGAACCGTAAACACAACTTACCCTTTAGGACATTCCGCTCCCGGATTTTCAGACAGGAAATTCTGTATATAATGTTTAAAATCCTTGTCACTTGGTCGTCCATTGATCATTTCTATAGGGCAGGTAATACAGTCTGGATCAGTTGAACTAGGTGGACAAAATGCTTTTGTGTTTCTGTGTATTCGACAGCATAAAGGTGCACCTGACGGATCAAGCCAATCGAAATAATCATCTAACCATGAACTAGCTGGTGAAGCAATCCAGGAACTGAGTGAGTGAGTGAAGCAAAAAAAGACAAAGAGAATAAACAACAATTAACTGGGGGGTGGGGATATTTTTTTCTTGATCAACAGAGGAAGTAGCCATCTTTTAAAATGGCTACAGTATTCATATTCATATCTTCTCATCATAGAATTGAGTGATGAAGAAAATAAAAGACAGATTCAGCGAAGAAAATTTTCTTTATCGACGAAATCATCTTCAGAGGCTGGCTGTACAGTCGTATTTATACTTACCAAAACATATATAGTGGTCTATTATTGTGAAATAGGGGGTGACATAATTGATATAATTACTCAGAAGTGGCTATAGAAGTGAAAATTAAAAGTTGTAAATTACGTGGTACTCAATGGAACAAAGATAGAAATTTGATAAGGTTAAAATTGCTATTAAGTGAGAAGAAAGGCGGAAGTTGAGTGTCAATTTAACAAGTGTGAAGAGGGTGTGAGAATATACAGAAGGAGCATATGGGAGTGATAATAGTGAATTAATTATTAAAGCAAAAGCAAACTAAAAGTAAAATTAAAAATTACAAAAAAGAAATGCAAAAAATCAAAATTCTTTTTAACAGGGAACGATTAGTGAGAAGGTTAAGACCAAGGTAGAATAAGAGACTGGACAAACTTTTTCCGTATACAGAGTTCAGGGTTGTATCGATGAATTACCAGCGCCTCCGCCATACACAAAAGCCGAAACCTGACGCCCTTTGTACCATTTGGCTTCACTTTGTAGATGATCTTGAAAGACGACTCCAGCGGAGCTACGTGGCCTGAGTTCACCAAATACTCGAGAATTGAACTAGCAATTGTCTTACACTGTCTTTTTGCTAACCATGCAAGATAATGTTCAGAGATGCGTTTGGAAAGTGTGCGCTTTGTGTGGCCAATATAACTAGCTCCACACCAGCAGCTGGTGAATTTATAAACACACATCGAGGTGGCCCAAATCGCCAGCAGTTTATCCTTCACACATCCGTTGATCATTTGTCGGCTGTAGAAATTGATACGTAGCTCAACCATAAAGAAGGCTTTCCTCAGTGATCTGCATAAGCAGCGATTCTTCAGGATCTCAGCTGTGGTATCACCTTTAAATTCAACACTCATAAATAGCAGTTTCTTCGGCACTGTCTGGATTCTTTCAGGCTTTTCCCTTAACTTCATGTTTTTCTCGATAAATCTTGGAGGATATCCATTCTCTATGAGGATTTGTCTGAGTCACCCCAGTTCCCCATCAACTGTATCGCTTGAACATATCCTTCTTATTCTTGAAGTTAGGGAATTGAGTGTGTCGATGGTTCATTCAGCAGTAGGATGCTAGCCAACTAAGCATTCGGTCCGCGGTTTGACACCTGACCAACGGACTCCTAGAAACATCGCTTAGTAGCCGATAGTAACTCCGGTAGAGAGGAAAGGATGGGCACGACCCTAGGAGTAACACCACTGCTACTGAGACTTCAAAGCTCAAGAAAAGGAATGAAAAATCAATAAATCATACCACTGGGTAACAGATCGCGCGGCAGGTAGGTCGTTGAGTTGTAAACAGCAAGTGTGATTTGGATGAGACCATGTGATGAGGAGAGTTAGTCAGTCTGTAGTAATCTAACTGGTTTAAAGTTCGACCGCGGATTGATATCAGTTAGAGAACCATTGAAAACAAGCAGGGAATACTGGCTGGCTGTTTCCTTCTAGTCTGCTTTCCGAAACTGCTATAAGCGACATCAAACATAACACGAATTAAATCCTTTACAAACTAACTCGTCAGTGAATGACTGCAGGTCGACATTTCCTGGAGGGCTAGTCAGAAATGGTGACCAACGGAGTCCCCCCCGCGCTCGGGAGTGAGGACAAATACTTGACGATGACACTAGCTCGTGGTCATGACTTGGCAGAAGCTAGATATCATAGACTGGCCATTGAGTCGGGTTCTAGTGGTTGCATGGTCTACGAGCTTGACTTGTAAACAGGAGATGCTGAGTTCGAACCCTAGTAGTGGGTGTGTGTGTGCTGTCAATGAGTCTCGAACTAGGCTGACGAAACAGCCAACCACTACTCTCTGGTGACTTCCAGCCCCAACGGGTTGATCTCTGGTGAAATCTCAGCACGAATACAGAAGGCTAGTTTCGCATATGCCAGTTTACGCCGTCTCTGGCTTAGTAGACGTGATATCCGGCTGGTTGTCGACCAAAGGCCGTGTGTACTGCTCATCAGTCCAATCCGTCCTCCTTTATGGCTGGCTGTGAGACCTGGCCATTGAGAGTGGAAGACATGAAAAAGCTAGTTAGCTCTCTTTGATCATAGGTGTCTGCGTTCTATCTCCCGTGTGAAGTGGTATAATAAGGTGAGCAATATTGAGGTTAGGCCATCGGCCGAGTGCTAGTTGGTAAGGAGGGGAAATCAGTCAACGAGGCTGTAAAACTACATCGACTGAGATGTTTAGGACATGTGTTACGTATGCATACCTAGTCATCGCCTTCCTCGACAATGGCCAATGTTAGCTGACATAGGATGGATCAGGCTGGAAAAGAGCTGGCGGCAGTCAAACGAAAACATGGCTTCACCAGTCAATGAAATCCACAACAGTTAGTTTAAGCCACATAGGAAGATGTAGACTTCCTGACTGGTTGGGGTCCTCGGGACGGTAAATACCAATGGTTGGAAACCATAGAGGTGGAGATGGAGATGTGGCAACTTGAACTGCCACACATATGTGCAAAGTTCTATGTCGAAAACAGACAGACAGACAAACTTCCAGTGGTTCCTTCACTGATATGAAACAGCGGAGAAAAAAATGTAAAAGCTTATTAGCAGTGGTGGAACTAGTTTTCAAAGAAAAAGGCCTGCCGATGAAACAGGGTGGAGTGAGGATGTATTGTTGTTGAAGCCTACACGTCACACCAATAATATAGTATGAAAAAAAAAACTTATAATCAAAAGAAAAAAAATCAATATTCATCGTAATCATGCATTCACTTACGCGTTAGGATATGTAGACGCTGAACTAATCCTTTGCAGTAGTGATGTATTCAAACAGCCTGTACCACCACAAACTTGATTTTGTCCATCCAATGTAGTATAGTTATGTCCTTGTGTTACAACAAAATATACCGGTGGTCCAATACGTAAATCACTACTTAAAGCATTAAAATAATCCAACATGTATGAGTCAATTGGCATTGATAATTTTTGATCTAATCCAATGTGTAATCCACTGGGTAGAAGTGATGCAGCTAAACATAACCAAGCCAGACTAAGAATTATGACTATAGGTCGAACCCAACCAGAGAGGATAAATGGTGTGAGACAATTCGCTACGGCATAATGCAGCCATGAATGTGATGCTATAAATAATAAACAAAGTGGGTTAAAATAAAAGAAAATATTTAAGAATATATATTTTAATCCATTATTAAAACAATTAGTTCCTTTTATGAATTTAGATAAAGCAATAAGAAGACGTAATTTGTCTGAATCGTGTAATGTATTTGCGCAACACATTTCGAACAATCTGATCACACACGGACTTGTCATAGGAGTACATATATATGATATTAATGAAGAGGTAAGAGGTGAGGAAATAGACACTTAGGTCAAGTTAAAAGGACGCCATATTGAAGGTCAAAATAACAATGAAGACCACTAAACCAATTAGCAGAGGTAATAGTACATCTGCTATGGTATCAAAACAAACAATCATAATAATAAAGAATGTAAAGCCAATATATCCATCCATCTAAGCCCTTCGAACATGCGAAAAACGACGTTACATCCAACTGTATTTACCCATTTGAATGTACGTGTTGACACACATACATAAGAGGGAGGACTCATCGATCTCTTCAAGTAAGAGCTGGCTTCATAGTATATTCCTAAATGGCTCCAGAAACAAATGCAATCTTCAGAACCTATTAACAGTGGTTCAGGATAACTAGCTCTTCTATTGCGAAACATATTACAGAGGAGACAGGATATAAAATTGACGTTAACACATCTTTAAAACCTATCTATAAAACGTGTTTCGGGCGTATCCTAAAGTTTGTCGAAGCCCTAGCTGGCGATTAGAAAGTTTAAGCCACCTTTATGCGTTCAAAGCAACAATTCGTCATCACACTAAACCTCCTTCCTTGGTAAACTTTGTTTTAATACCATAGCAGATATCCTATTACCTCTGTTATTTGGTTTAGTGGTCTTCATTGTTATTTTGACCTTCAATATGGCGTCCTTTTAACTTGACCTAAGTGTCTATTTTCTCACCTCTTAACTCTTTATTAATTTCAAATATATTCCTATGACAAGTCCGTATGTGATCAGATTGTTCGAAATGTGTTGCACAATTACATTACACGATTCAGACAAATTACGTCTTCTTATTGCTTTATCTAAATCCAGTATTAGTAATACTTACTTTTTTTACTTTACTTCGGCTATCTCCTACGGGAGGATGAGCCGGCTTCATGAACATCTCGAATCATCGCTGCCCAGGCACGGCGATCTGATGCAAGGTTTTGCGACAGGGTTTTCCAATTCTTGTTCCACAGACGGAGTCCGTAAACCCAGGCACTCCATATCAGCCTTGACTGTACCACGTTTGTAAGAGAGTTCATGAAGTTTCATGGGAATTTGGTACGAGTGATGTCCCCAGAATCACTCGGCCTTTTGTATGAGAGTGCAGCTCTAGCCTTTACACAACCAAGTGTGACCTACAAGGCAGTAGGAGTGGAGTAGGGAGTCCACTATCCATTGGCAGCCAGTGACCGGAGTTCGGTTCACACGCCTTTTTGAATGGGGCCAGACATCCAGGACATCCAACAAGCCCTTTGTCCATACGTCTTCCGGTGAGCTCCAGTGAGCTTCATACGCCAGTCGTTGGAGGTTTGGAATCAGGGTTTAGCCATCTCCCCTAGACTGTCATCCAATGGACAGTCAACCCGGTGAAGAGCGCAGGGCATCCGCTTTCGCCCTCTCACTTTGGTGAAAAACACCTCCGCCACGTGAAGGCAGTGAGTAGGACTTCCTCAGGAGAGGCTATATAAGACGCCCGGTCATATGGGAGCATTTGAAGAGGTGTGCGGAGGGGTGGCCAACCCGCAGTGCAAGGCACCCACCCCCGACCATCCTGAGGCTTTGGAGGCAGTATTAGTAATGATATTAATCAATAATAATACTCCAACCGTAAGGGCACCAGCAACAAAGCCACTTAACAGCGGAGCTGAAGATATACAGTAAAGGTAAGTTAGAAAACACACAAACACACATACATCAAAATAAAAATATCGACGTAAGCTATGGAGATAGTGGATAAAGGCCCTAATCAGCTAATTGGTCCTTATGTCAGTGACCTGAAATCCACCAATTAGATACCGACTAGGTTGTCTACAAATGCGTGGGAGTTAGTTATGCTAGCAATCTAGTGTAGGCCTCTCACACATGCTGTTCTATGATTGGTAGATTTCAGTTTGCTGACATTAGCTGATTTATGTAACTTTTATATACTGCCGAATTCGATGCGGTGAGGATGTGGTAGACGGAGATGTTTTCCGGTTGAGGTAGATGTTTTTTTTTATGTTGCTGTGTTCTCTGAGATGAATGATAATTTATTAATTGGGTAGCTTTCATTGTCTCTCCGGACAACATCAGAGAAAAACGAGATTTTAAGAACTCATAGAAAAGAATGCAATTTGAATGTGTGTGTATAGTTGCATAATTCATGCTTTTCCGAGAAAATCATTGCAGAATGCCAACAACCATCAAGGTCATCAAGAAAGATAATTATCTCACTAATGGAAGGTTTTGAAAAAATAAATCAGAGAAAGTTTTAAAATCTTTAGATGACGTTGTGTTCTCTGAGCTGAAAAATCTAGTGAGAATAAGAGTACAATTTCTCACTGATTGGTATTTCGTGATTTGTGTGAGAGCTGAGGTACTAGAGGTATTCAGCTTTATCGGACAAGCAGTAGTATTCCAAAATGCGTTCCCATGGTTGTCGTTGGCAAGTTAGTGCACCGTGATTTCGGAAATGCAAGGAGAGACCTGCATATAGAGAGGATGCTCGGGGTCTGACAATATAGTATTTGCTAGTTACTTACATGACATTATATGTCTATCCACAATAGTGTTAACCAGTTAGTTTAACGAAATCCCACTTGCCCTACTAACAGCTTTTAGTGCCCTTCTCAGCAAAGCAAAATCTTTCTTAAGTAGTCCAGGAAAGATTAATGGGGAGCAGTAAAGAGGGATGGGTAGAATACAAGAATTGACAAACTGAGACAGCAAAGATTGCTTTATACCAGACCGCCTTAATTTCCTAATGTAGAACGTTAAGCGAGACATCTCTCTAGTAACTAGCAAGATGTGAGAGGACCAGGAAAGATCGGAGGAAATACTCAGTCCAAGGTACTTGACATCTGATGTAGTTTCAACCTCTATTCCGTCAATGATGGTGGGACCATGTGAGCTAGCTAGTTGTTGTAGGTCACGTTTTCACCTGAAAGTGAAATTGACTACCTGACATCTAGACGGATTTAGCTTAAGACCGTTTGAAGAGGACCACTGACTAATATCCGACAGAAAGTAATTTAATTTAGAACAATCTGATTGCGAGTTGACAGGCATGGAAACAGAGAGGTCATCAGCATACTTGACAAAAGTGGCTACATCAGAATGGGGCAAGTCATGTAAGAAAAAAGAAAACAGAAAAGGAGAGAGAACAACAACTTGAGGAACACCAGCTAAAAGAAGTGAGGTAGTGGCGGACTTTCCATTGTAGACGGTGTACTGCTTCCTATCAGAAAGATAGGAATGCAACCACTTATTTGTCCAGCTACCAGCAAGTTTACTTAGCAAGAGACCTAGGTACTGAGTCAAATGCGGATGTGTAATCAAGGAAGGCACACCTAACGTATTTAGCTCCTCTATCTAAACTGGAGACTATATTATGATATAGAACAACAGCGGTATCTAAGGTACACCTACTACGTTTATAAGCAAACTGGTTGGGGTCATTGTAAGGCTTTAGAGAGGGTCCAAGATTAAGTAAAATAATTCTTTCCATAACTTTCAAAAAAGGTGAGGTAATAGCCATGGGTCTAAACTTGACAGTAGGTCCACTTGTTGATTTAGGCACTGGAACAACCTTGATATTTTTCCATGAGTCAGGTATAAAACTTTTGGAAAAAAGATTCGTTGAAAATGTCAGTTAATGGGTAACATAAGATGTCAACACACTTCTTAAGGATAACAGCAGGAACTCCATCAGGATCAAGGGACTCAGTCCTGTGTCATCATCACGTAAGTAATTCTGAGGTCCATTAGAGTGTGTTTCGACACTGAAAGAGAGTTTGTTACAGGTGATTTTCTCTGTAAAATGTATATTATGCAGCTAAATAGCTTCAATCCACATTGTCACCTCAAAACTCTGAAAAGTTCACTTCCTAGTGAAATTAACCCAGACAATGTGTTGTCCACACGAATAATGAGAAAGCCATTACACTAAATCATTGAGCTCAGAAAACATTAAAAACACATCCATCCAAGCTACAAATCTTCTCCTACAATTCGTTATCTCTCGCATTCTACCTATTATTCTCTATTCTTCCCCCTTACTTTTCACCGGGCTACTGAAGAAAGACTATACCTTATTACGCAGGATGTTAAAGCTTGTCAGCAGGGTAAGCAATGTGCCACTTAACCAGATTGTTATTATTCTGGTTGACAGGCACATGAACTCATGTGAAAAATGGGCTAAATCCATTGTATCTAATTCACACCACCCTCTTCATTCACAGCACCACCACCACCCTTGCATCTCATCAGGCAAAACCAGAAGCCGATATAGGAAACTATATGCTCGCACCAACAAGTAAAAAACTCAACCATACACTACTTAGCTCGTGTTCTGTGTGATTAAGAAAAAGCATTAGGCGTGATACCTATAACTTATTAAATAGTCAGAAGAACAACTGAACCTCGTCTTTCCAACTCATATCATTTACATATACAACATTTTCTTTCTTTCTTTTCCTTTTCTCTCTCTCTCTCTTTTTCTGTTATGTGCTGCTTTGTTTCTTTCTTCCGCTTACGTCAGTAAATATGATAGCACCTACTTTTCTAACACCTTCAAACATTCTGTTCACTTTTGGCTTTGCTACCGACATGCCAATATGTTGTTGTCATAATGAACTGAGATTTCCTTAATCTATGTAGAATTCTATTTATTGATAATGTACTAACTGGATGAACCTCGCCTAGATTACTAGGTCACTAGTATTCTAGCCGGTCCCAAGCCCGGATAAAGAGGGAGGGTTGGGGCGTGGTGCTAGCAACTCCACCTCCAAAACTCAAC